TCATCTCATATTTATGCCTAACTTTAGATTATAAAACAATTATTTTCTTATCGCAGATAACGTGACTGTCCGCACTATACCGGCCGGTTCGTTGGATAATGAGCTCACAATTAGTGGACATCACTCACAGTCTCAAGAAGTGTCTGTCTCCACGTCGACCATTACAGTCCGACCTCACGCTGAAGATAATGGTGTGATGTATACGTGCGAAGCCATTCATACAGCCTTATCAGCGCCTCTCAGACATTCGCTCACTTTATCTGTTTTATATCCGCCCGGTATGCCTACCCCTTCACACCTACTCTTATGTTAATTGCAAATAGATTTATCTAAATTCAAAATTGAAATATAATTAATTTTAATGTTATTCATAGCTATGTTATTATAATTTTTCAATTACTTTATGAACTACAGGTCCGCCGGAAATATCGGGTTATACTGAGGGCGAGACCGTACGAATGGGTGACACCTTAACCCTTGTGTGCAAATCAATTGGTGGCAATCCTTTGGCTCAATTGGTTTGGTATAAGAATGACGAAGAAGTGGACTTTTCTTTCACGACAACTGCCAACAAACAGTCCGCCAATTCTCACACCTTTGTGGTGGACGCCTCCGACAATAACGCGGTCTACCGGTGCGTCGCCTCCTCTACCATCACACAGACACCGATGGTGTCCGAAATCAAACTCCAGGTGCACTTCGCGCCGGCAAAAGTCTATATAAATGGCACCAAAGAGGCCAAAGCCGGCGATAATGTGACGATGACCTGTCGTACTGAGCGAAGTAACCCTCCGTCAGAGCTTAGTTGGGTTGTCGACGGCAGACCCGTCACCGCAACCAACACTATCGTGGCCGACCCTTTAGGTGGTTGGGTCAGTTCGGCCAACGTTACAGTTATGGTGACCTCTCAGGACAGGAATATGAAGATGTTGTCCTGTTATGCCATTAATCAGGCACTCGGAGAGACAATTGTTGAGACGTCTGTCCTCAGTATCCTCTACGCTCCCGATCCGCCCAACATATTTGGCTACACCGAAGGCAACTCCATTCGCGCCGGTGCTCTACAACGGCTCACATGTGTGTGCAATGGGGGTAACCCTCTCTGTACTCTCAAGTGGTTTAAGGGCGACACTGAGGTGACGCAAGCGACTCAAGTGACCACTAATGGCAACGTTGTCTCCAACGAAATTGGTTTGTCTTACAATCTATTAGCCGTTTAGTATATAATTCATAACAATCTTATGTCCAAAATAGCGATCATTACGAAAGACAGTGATAACGGCGCCCAATACCGGTGCGAAGCGAGCAATTCTGCGACACCCGACCCACTGGTAGCCACTGTCCAGTTGACTGTTCACTGTATGTCTCACTATTGCTTACAAACTATTGATACGAGACTAATGCGTTGATTGATTGGTTGTGTAGTCCCCCCGTCGGGCGTATACATCAAGATGAGCCCAAAACAGCCCAAATCTGGGAGTCAAGTGGAACTGGTGTGCGAGACGGGCAGCTCTAACCCGGAGTCAGTGGTCACGTGGTGGAGGGACGGCTTTCTGCTCAATGGACACCAGGACGGCATTATTGATGGCCTGTATGGCGGAAAGACTACTCGAAATATATTACGGCTTAATGTGACGAGTGATGATGACGGAGCTGTCCTCACGTGTCAGGGTATGTCTCGCTATTTGTTACACACTTCTCGTGTATTGATTCCCTTTCGATGACTCGTATGAAAGCATTGGTGAAAATGTAGATATAATTAGGTTTTTCCTAAATTTAATTCCTATGCTATAAAAGGCATCGTTTTTATATATAATACTCTGTCTCTGAATTATAGCCACAAATCGTGTTCTCCAACAGTCAGTACACGACGCGACAACTCTTAGCATTCAATGTGAGTACCATTTGATTCAATTTACAGAATATTCTATGAATTTGATGCAAATTCAATCATTTATAGGAATTATTGTACAAATATTTTTTTGTAAAGTCACATAATTCGTGTAAATTGCATTGAATTTTATATTTTAAACTCATATATTCTGTCCAATTATACAAATACTGAATACAAATTGTATTGTATTTTATTTGATGATATCAGACGCGCCTGAGTTCCTGACGTCTCCCTTAACTCAATTTGATGTCATCGAAGGCCAGTCCTCTCTGATAAATCTGACGGCGAGAGGCAATCCCTCGACCATTCAGTACAAGTGGTCGCGTCAACCGGACACCGGCGCCGCTGACGGCACTACCGGTGCACCCATTGATTCCGTTCGCATACAAACCGATGGACCCATACTTAACATAAGCCAAGCGCTAAGAAGTGATTCCGGAGTTTACAAACTCTTCGCTCAAAACGAGTTGGGGTTCAGCGAAACGGCCATTAAAGTCAACGTTCACTGTATGCCATCATTCACTATATATTCTGTATTGAGTTTAGGTATTAATGTATTAATTGTCTTTTTTTGTGTCTCAGACTCAGCACAGATACTCAAAGTGAGTGAATTGGTTTTGGTGGACGAGTGGTCCAACGCATACCTGGAGTGCAGTGTCGACGCCAACCCCACCACTGATACCACAATCCAATGGCGGCGTAAAGTCCGCAACGAATCGGACAGTTCTGTC